ATGGATAAAACCCTATGCATCCAACAACTTCAAAACATGCTTGTACTTGAAGCATTGAAACTATGGAAATTCATTCAACTTGGTTTTTCACTCTCAACCAAACCATAACATGCTATCTTGCAAATCTGATTACTTCAACCTCCCAAACCTCTTGCCTATATATAGAGAGATCATTTGCAAGCCAAAGGGAAAAAAAGGAACAAGCCCTCAAAAACCCCTTTACTCTCAAAAAATCATAATTGTCCACAAAACCTCCATTTTTGAGCTTTGAAGTCCAAATCTCCGAATCTCTCAAACCTTGCAAGTTTTGTCCAAATAAATCATCCAAATACTTCACATACATCATATAAAAGTTGTCCAAAAAAAACAACTTCTGTAACATCATTATCACCATCTTCCAAATTCAAAAACAGTGCCTTGCAAGTTGACTTGGTTGGGTAAGATTCAAACACTTTCAGCACAGAGTAAGGATTGGAACAACTTCAAGGAGGTCCAAGAAGGCTTAATCAATCAGAATTTTGCACCTGGAACAGCTAGAAGAGGCTTCAGACTTTTCGCAAAAAAAGGTAATTTTTTTCAAACTGTGATATCCTTATCCATACATCATTTTCTTTCAATTTCAAAAGAATAAAAGAATATAAATCGGGGCAGAAGAGTGTAAATATCCAAAATTCCAAAAAAAATGCTTCAGGAGTCCTAACACGGGTGGCCGTGTCACCTGACACGGGCCGTGTCAGGGGGAAGACTTGGAAAGGAGGAAAAACAAATTATGACACGGGACGTGTCAGGGGGAAGACTTGGCAAGGAGGCAAAACAAATTATGACACGGGCGTCCATGTCACACGACACGGCCAGTGTCAACTCAGCTGGGACTAAAAACGTGCAAGGGCAATAACAAATGCTGACACGGGTGCTCATGTTAACTCAGTTGCGACTAAAACGTGCAAAGTCAATAAAATAGATTATGACACGGGTGCCTGTGTCCGGTGACACGCCCCGTGTCAGCCTAGGCGCTAGAAATCCTAATTTTTTTGAAATTTTTGCTGATTAGTTTTGGATCATTAAGGGTACATGGATATTTTGCATTGTTGGGAGATGACCTAACACTATAAAACTTTTTATAAATAAAACACCAAAACATTTTCTAAAATATTCAGATTTCTTTAGGTTTTACTTAATTAATTTAATTTTCATAAATAAAATTAATTAATCACACTTTGCTTTATTTTAAAAAATTAATTTGTAAATAAAATTAGAATTAGGTCTAACTTTTATATTTCAAATTTCAAACATTTTCTAAATAAAGAAACAACAAAATATTTCCTTAAAATACTTAGAATTTTTAGGGTTTTTGCATCTTTCCCTCTTTCTATCTCCGTACATTTGTTTATTTTTTACTAATACAATTATATAACTGTCAAAGTTTGTAATAGATAATTAGGGTTTATTGCTTTCATTCTCCACTCATAAACTTGTACCCCCATCTCTGAAGCATTGTAATAGCATAGGACATTTAAATTCTGCAATTTACCGCTTTCCTTATTACTGTTAGTTTAATAGGATTGTATGTCAAGATCTAAAACAAAACGTTAGATAACCTAATCTCAAAGACAAATACTTGAAATCAAAATACTTCGCACACACGCACCTCTAGGACAATCTCACTTGTTGCCTCGGATAAAAACAATCATGTCCCTCGAACGTGAGATTTTTTAGCAAAAGACCCTCAGTTAAAAAATCGTAGTCCCTTGATAACCCTTCGATGTTGCCTTCTGTAAATGATCTTAGTCCTTTACGACAATTGCCAAGGCGTCTTACAAGTTTCCTTCTATGACTGTACGATGACCCACGCGTGTCCCTCACATCCAATAATAGGCCTTCCTACTAACTAATGGTAGGATAGTATTGTCTAAAGGAAAGGAGGAAAAGAACAAAGACCATTTAGTCGGTAGATCGCTCGTAATCGCTTGCTCACAAACTAAAACAATTTCCACACTTCATACTTTCAAAACAACTACTTTTAAAACGCTTTATAAACACTCTTGAGGACTGATACAAGGGTCATTATAAAGCGAACTGCCTTACATTGACATTTTCAAACATCCTTTCACAAAACAACACTCTATGTCATAAACATTTTCAAAACAAATATTTTATATACATTCTCAACTATACGAGAATCATTACAAAATTCACGCATTTAGGCGTTTTCAAAATATTTTAAAACATACACAAACACGAAGCATTATTTTCAAAGTGAGCTAGCAATTAAGAGCCGTAGATAACTACGAATGAGAAGGGTGCTAACACATTCCCTTTTCATAACCTACCCCCCAAACTTAAGAAAAATTCTCAAAGATCTTTCCTGTTCTTTACACCCTTTCCTTTATTGGATAAAAGAAAAGTCGGTGGTGACTCTTACTATCCACAACATTTGCGATAAAACGCAAACCACCAAGTCAGTTCTCCCATCGTATTACAGTCACAAAAGACTTTTGAATAAAAAATATTCCCGAATGAGCGACAAGTTATTGTTGATGGGGCATAACAAGATATTCATAGATTGGTTTAATAAAAGGGTATCTAATGATTGTAGTGCATCTGAGATACCTTGTACACGCCAAAATTTAATGTCATAACTTGGACTGCATACGATATTGGTCATTATACCTTTTATACAAAATCAAAAAATCGTAGTACAATGCAAAATAGTGGGGTTATGGTTGAAGTTGGATCGATGAATTTCTCTAGTTCAAAAGATAAGAATCTTGTATTGACAACTGTCGCATTCTATGGTGTCATTAAAGAGATTTGAGAGATTGATTATGATATTTGAAAAGTTTCTTTATTTAAATTCAGGTGGGCTATCAATAATAGTAATGGTGTACACATTTATGATCTAGGATTCACACAGGTTGACATTGGCAAGACATATTTTATGACTGAATCATTCATCATGACTTCTCAAGAAAAACAAGTTTTCTATATGACCGACTCTTCGGACATATCGTGAAAATGGTCAATCATTCTCCAAGGAAAACACATATATTTTAGTGATGAAAGTCTTGATATTACCTCCATTCCTTCTTACACAACACAAGTTCCTACCTCATATGATGAAGTTGATGGAGATTTTGTGCATGCTATTCGAATTGATCATGAAGAAGGCATATGGGAAAATTAACAAGTAAGTATTTTATTCTTTGTTCATAATATATTAATTGTATGTTATAATTTCTACGTATTTTTACTAATGCAAGTATGATTATTTGAAGTCATATGTCTTTATATGTCAAGACACCAAGAGACAAGACACCTATAGACAAGAAACCAAAACACCAAGATACAATTATGTGATGTTATGTAATGTGTAAACCGTAGGTTGTTTTGTGACATTTTGATTTTGAAGTAATATACAATTTTTTATTCTTAATCCAATTTTTATAATTATTATGAATTATTATAAATATGATAACTATATCACAAATGCAAATTGTTTGTTCTGCTATGATTGTTTGTTTTGCTGTGATATGATCTACAAAAAATACAGGTTAAAAAATGGAAAAAAATTATAAAAGCATGATTAAATTTATTACTTAAGCAGAAAGTTTCTCAACGGTTAAGTTACACAACAGTTGTAATATCTTACTCGTTGTATATAATAATATAAATACCAAAACAGTGTTGCTGAGAATCGAACCTAAGACCTTTATATATATATCACAACGGTTATTTGACTCAACCGTTGTGATAGGATGCGTGTTTTTCAGTTTTCTACAACGGTCACTGGACCGTGATTGTAAGTATCGCATATCCAACCGCACGCTACATAACAACATCTGGTCCCACATGATTATTTATTTTTCCAACATTTGTTGAATGTCTTTTCCGTAGTAGTGAATCCTTAAAGAGTGTGTGTAAGATAAAGTCAGTCTAATCATATGGATTAATGGTTTAAAAGCATTGCTATCTAACATTTCGATTAAACTTTGTGTTGTCCTCACTAAGGTTAAGTCTTAAATCGAAAGATACCTAACTATATTAACACTCTTTATAATTCATTTTCTGGAATTAAACTTGTCATTATTAGAACAAGTGGGGGATTGTTGAAAATTAATGAACAATTAATGTCCATGGATGTGTTCAAATATGACAATACTAAAGAGGATAAAAGTGTCCCATAGACAAAAGCGGAAGTTGCCTTTAAATCTATCTGAAGGAAATTTTGGTTAGTTTTTATACTAAACATCCACCAGTAGAAGTTGCCTTTAAATTTGTCTTGGACTACTAAAAGTTTGAATTACAAATTCAAAATGTACAACACTTCATAAAGTGGTGCATAATGTAACTATAGACGAATCATTGCAATCTTATGTTGAAAAGGTGTTGTTTCATCAAGAGTTGCAAACTTGTGAAACAACACATACATGACCTATAAATACATTATTCAGAATTCAAAAATCACACAATAAAATCATAAATCTTCTTCATTATTTCAGACAATCTTCCTTGTATTCGAGTTCTTCATCAGTCTTATGCAGACTCAATTCAAATGTTGAATTATCTTAGATGTTCTTGCATTCTAACTCTAAGACATTTGAGTGTACTTTAAATATTTATAAGATAAGTGATTCCGTTTACGATTTTAACCTCAATCCATTTGACTTAAATTAATTCTCTAACAAACTATTCATGATTTATTTTTCTGTCACATTTAACAATTTTGTTAATCACTATCACAACTATAATACACACTCAAACCAAAATGATTAAAAGCATAGGTTCATGAAGGGAGAAAAAAAAACTAGCTAATACCAATTGTTGAAGTCTCAAACCATACTCATTCTGATCAACAAAAAAAAAGTAAACAACAATCTTTATTGTCCATAAAAATTAAGGAAACGTGAAAACAAAACAAATGTGTAATAGACTTTCACCACACACACAAATATTGCATGTTTATGTATGTAGTCACAACAAAGCTTATTAGAGAAAAACAACTATAGCCAAATTAAGAACATCAACATAGCCAATGAAACCTCCAACAACACGATGAATCCACGGCCAGCAGCAGCGCCGGACGAATTTGGTGCTGGTGCAGGTGAAGGTGACAGTGGCAAGGTAATCAAAGGTGGGAGAAATAGAGGCCTCTTTGTAACAACCATATCACCTAGCTTGGAATGAATCTTTGTATTACAGTCATCCTCATCCTCATCCTCATTGACTACATGCATGCATACATACATATATATTACTATATTATTACACATGTATCTAATAACTAATCAAAAAAATTATTTTAGAACAATGATATATATCATACATGACTTACCAACAGTATCGCTGTATGTGAATTGGTGTCTAGTGGCCCAATCGATGAGTGCGTCACGTGATGGAAAGTTAACCTTCCATGAACTTTCAGTATCTCCAGCAATATATTCTGTGGATTCTGAGTAGGAAAATAGAAGGCACATTGAGAAAATGATCATCAACAATATTGGAGAAGTAGAAGAAGAAGCCATGTCGATGACTTTGTTAGAATTGAGTAGTGTTTGGTAATAAATATAGTAAATAGGTTTGAAGTTTTAACACAACACTGAATAGAATATATCATTATTAAAGTGGTAATAATAATACTATAATAACATGTTTTGGTGAAATGGCGAGCCATAACATTAGATTCCTTGCATTGCATGAGTAGCTGTTCATTTTGTGAGAGGTTAAGTGTTTCTCCATTCAAGAGTAGAGGCAGGGCGTTAGATTTCATCTCTGTCAAATTCAATTGCTTGTGAGTTCGTCTATGTGACTTATGACAATTCTAAATGGCACATATTTATGTTTAATATTTTACATTTTGTACATTATTATAATCTTGTGACTTCCAACACATATATACATGAGAATTGGAACTTTTTATTCCAACCTAAATTAGCCATTAAGCATTTGATCAATTAACATTGAGATAATGTTAATTGTTGATATGTCCGACGGTTTGGTTTTCAAGTTGATAGGTTGAGAAAAAATTGCATAAAAACAAAGTAAATTTTTATTTTTAGGAACAACAAATCACAATTTTTTTTATTAATTACAAAACATTTTGTTAGTTAAAAAATAAAAAATAAATTGTCTTCTCTCCTTTATTACCACCATGTGATTCCAATTAAAAATAAGTTAAATTTTAAATAAGAATTTCTTTTTTGAAATAATAAGATATTAAAAAAAACACAAATAATCATGTTTTGGAAAAAAAAATTACGCAAATAATCATGTTTCGGAAAAGACTAATAAAGAGGAGTTAGATGAGATGACGCATCCACTTATAATTAGCCCTAAGCATCATCCCACACGGCGTATCCAGTTCTTTCAAGCCTTGTGAAATGGTGCATGCACTCTTATCTGGCTCCTCGTTGTACTTGTGTTTTCTATAAATAAGACTCCATTTCTCCACCATTCTTCACAGTTTCTCACTATCTTTTCTCATTTCCTCCCAAAAAATTTCAGCATGACATCTGAGGTAATTTTCACAAGAGATATTGAAAATAATTTATATTTTAGGAATATCCTTTTATATCTTTGTTAGAAGGTATTTTAGTATTTTATTATACCCTAATTTTGTGTATAAACAACCTAGCAGTAGGTAGGTCATTGTAATTCATTGTAAATTCATTATTCCTTATTTTGTAGCCGTCATTAAGTATATTCCTTTTGTCTTTCATCTCTCCTTGTGCACCAACAATTGGTATCAGAGCTCCGGTTCGAAATCCACGGGGAAACACGAGTGAACAGTGAGGTATTATTGAGAATCACTTTTTTGATTATGTGGGATATGGGAAACACTTTTAGTGAATTTTGAGTGAATTGCACAAGGTTGAAGATGAACGGCAACAACGATATAAATTCCAAGCTTCTAGCATTTGATAGCAAAAACTAGAATCGTTAGAAGATCCAGATGCGTGTGTTGTTTGGTTCTCAAGATGTGTTAGATCTTGTCACCGATGGCTATGCTACATTAGCAACAGACGCGACAGAGGCTTAGAAGATTACACAGAAGGCGCTAAGGAAGAAAGATCAGAAGGCGTTGTTCTACATCCATCAATGTGTGGATGCGAACGTGTTTGAGAAGATTGTTGACTCTGAAACAGTAAAGGTTACGTGGAACACACTGGTTAGATGTTACGGTGGTGTCTATCAATGAAAAAGGTGAAGCTTCAGTCTCTCAGAAAGCAATATGAGAATCTCAACATGAAGGACAACGAGAAGGTTTTTGAGTACATCTCTAGAGTGATTCTGATCACTAATGAGATAAAAGCTTGTGGAGAAACTCTTTCTGAATAAGTAATCATTGAGAAGATATTAAGGTCTTTAACTTCTCATTTTGATTACATTGTGGTAGCAATTAAAAATTCCAAAGATCTGAGCACCATGAGAGTTGAAAAGCTGCAAAGTAGTCTAGAGACGCATGAGTTGCGTATGACTGAGAGAACTTCTGAGGGAGAAGTAAAGCAGCAGGCTCTGAAAGTAACTTCTGGTAAGAAGTATCAGAAGCATACTTGGTCAGAAGCCAGAAAGAAAACTAATGATGGTCAAAAGTCAGAAGCTTCAAACTCTAATAGGCAGATGAATGTCCAGAAGGGAAAGGAGAAGTCTGGCAAGCAGAATGTTCAGTGTTACTGTTGCAACAACTTTGGTCACTATGCCAAAGGTTGTTGGTCAAACAAGGAAAGGAAGTTAGAAGAAGAAAATATAGTCAGATGAGAGTCTGATGATGAACATGTGTTATTTATGGCTTATGAATCTGATGAGGAATCGGTGAAATTGTCATTTTCTGATTCTGAAGGGGAAGAAGATAACTCTGAATATTATGACTCTGAAGGAGTGTTTGAATATGAGTCAGAATTAGAAGATGACGCTGAAGATTCCGATGATGAGTCAGAAGATGATGACTCTAGAAATTCTGAAGGTGAGTTAGATGGTGAATCTGATTCTGATCTAGATTTTGATGTTGATCTAAAATCTGGTGGTGATCATGCTTCTAGAAGGGAAAAATCTGAAGACGTAGATTCTGGAGGTGATCATGCTTCTAGAAGGGAAAACTCTGAAGACGTAGATTCTGGAGGACAAGCTTCTAAAGATGATCATATTTCTGGTGGAAATCATGACTCTAAGGATGGACCTTCTAAAGGTTCTGGAGGACAAGCTTCTAAAGATGATCATGTTTATAGTGGAAATCATGACTCTAAGGATGGACCTTCTGAAGGAGGAGCTTCTTAAGGAAATTCAACCTTTGACGATGATCATGATTCTGAAAGTAGAACTTCTGAAGGCAGAGGTGATCCAACTTTTAAAGATGATTCTGACTGACTCCGATGGTGATTCAGACTCTGAGATTTTCAAGACTCTAAAGACAATCAAGGTTCTGGAGAAAGTCCAATTTATGAAGCAAGAGCTTCTGAAGGAGAAAGTTCTGGTGTCCGAGGTTCTGAAGTTCAAATTCAGAGGTAACAAAGAGTCAGAAATATCCTAAGAAGATTTGCAGAGTTTGACATTTTACAAGACACTGAAGTAGACTCCGAAGGAAAATTTATTCAGTGTGCAATGTTATTAAACTCTAAATTTATGAGTACGTAAGAGGCTCTTAAGTAGCAACTCTGGTTGCAGGCCATGAAATAAGAACTTGATGCTATAGAGAGAAACAAGACTTGGAAGCTGACAGAACTTCTAAAAGGCAAGAAAGCCATCAGCATCAAATGGGTTTTCAAGCAGAAGATAAAGCCAGATGGATCAAGTGGCAAACATAAAGAAATATTAGTAGCAAGAGGCTCTTTACATAAGCCTGGGTTGGATTACTCTGAAGTGTTTACACCTGTAGCAAGACATGAAACAATCAGACTAGTGATTGCAATAGCTGCTAACAGGAATTGGTCTCTGATGCATTTAGATGTAAAATCTGCATTTCTGAATGGTCTATTACAAGAAGAGGTATACATGTCATAACCTCCTGTATTTGAGAAAAATAATCAAGAAGGGATGGTGTTCAAATTACACAAAGCCTTGTATGGATTGAAGCAAGCGTCCAGAACTTGGAATCTGAAAATTAATTCATTTTTCAAGGGACAAGGGTTTCAGAAATGTGAGATAGAGTATGATGTTTATGTTCAGCACACTTCAGAAGGTAATATGATTCTGGTCTGCTTATATGTTGATGAAATATTACTCACAGGAAGTTCTGAACAAGAGATAGTTGAGTTCAAGAAGGTTCTAATGAATGAGTTTGAGATGACAGATCTTGGGAAAATGAGTTTCTTTCTAGGTATGGAGTTTATGTACTCTGAGAAAGGAATCATTTTGCATCAGATGAAGTATGAACTTGAGCTTCTGAAGAGATTTGAGCTAGAGAACTGCAAAGTTGCTATCACACTTGTTGATACAAATCAGAAGTTGGAATCTGGTTCTGATGGAGAGGATGTGGATGATACAACCTTCAAACAGTTGGTTGGCTCTCTGAGGTATTTGTGTAATACCAGACCTGATATTTGTTATGTAGTTGTAATGGTTAGCATATTTAAGAATAAACCAAAGTGGTCTCATTACCAAGCTTCTGTCAGGATTCTGGCGTATGTGAAGGGAACTCTGAAGTATGGAGTGTTATTTCCTTCTGGGAGAAAGATCTAATAAGAACTTCTGAGTTATTTAGACTCGGATTGGTGTGGAGACAGAGTTGACAGAAGAAGCACTTCTGGGTACTTATTCAAATTTCTGGGAGGTCCTATTTCTTGGTGTTCCAAGAAGCAACCTATTGTTGCACTGTTAACATGTGAAGTTGAATATATTGCAGGAGCTATGATTGCATGCCAAGCCGTGTGGATTATGAAATTGCTGAAATATTTGAAGATTGAGGTATACAAACCTCTGTAGCTGATGATTGATAATAAGTCTGCAATCAATCTTGCCAAGAACCCAGTGCTGCATGGGAGAAGCAAGCATATTGAGATCAATTGTCACTTTTTGAGGAATCAAGTTCAGAGTGGAATATTAGAAGTTGTGCACTGTAGCACCCAGAAGCAGCTGGCAGATGTTTTGACAAAGGCTATCAAGACTGATCAATTTTTTCATTTGAGGGGTGGAATTGGTGTTGTCTTTGTGTAATTATAAATTAAGGGATGGTATTGGAAATAATTTATATTTTAGGAATATCATTTTATATCTTTGTTAGAAGGTATTTTAGTATTTTATTATACCCTAATTTTGTGTATAAATAGCCTAGCAGTAGGTAGGTCATTGTAATTCATTGTAAATTCAATATTCCTTATTTTGTAACCGTCATTAAATATATTCCTTTTGTCTTTCATCTCTCCTTGTGCACCAACAAGAAATGGCTATGTTTTTTTCTCGATCATCAAACTGCAGATTAAAATGAAATTTTGGCGCATCCATTCCATGGAGCGTCTTAAGAGAGAGTTAAAGTGTTGGTTAGACAAGGAAATCCAAGATGGAGAACAAATTAGAAGAATTCAGAGAAGAT